ATCAATCGGCTGCCTCCTGCACGCCCCCCACCGGGGATCGAGCCCACAACCTGGGCATGTGCCCCTGACCGGAATCGAACCCGGGACCCTTCAGTCCACAGGCTGACCCTCTATCCACTGAGCCAAACCAGCTAGGGCAGTTACAGGTCTTTTAACAGGAATATAGTTTTCTGGATTATACATTTATCTGATACCAAAAATAGCACTGTTGCTCAATAGGGAACTAACAAGTTAAAGTCATCTTCCCAGTCAAAACTGGAAAGAAGTCAGTTACTGGTTTATTATAGGGGTAGGGATGGGATGGGGAGCAGAATGTGATGATACCCAGAGACTAGCACCAGGAAAATCTGCCTGCTGGATTAAAGTGTGGATTAAAAAGGCAGACATATTTTATGAGCATTTTCAGGAATGATGCAGCATTACCTTCACTAATGAGTTTTAAGAATATATTACTACATTTTACCAGGAAACAGAAATATAGGCACTAAACAAACTGAAGTGTGATAAAGGATGAACAAGAAATTTAGACATTACTGAAGATTTCAAGGGGAAAACACAACCAACATCCAAAAAATTATCTTTTAGATATTTCTGTTCTCCCTCTAGTATTCTTTTGGTTGTCAGTGACGATAGCCTGTCTATAAAAATCTGTTGTCTTAAGAATTCAGTTCTGAGACCACATTTGTATGCCTCACTCAGCAGGACAAAAGCTCTACAGGTAGATGATCTCCCCACCTTTAGACAAGAGTTTACCGCCCTTACTGCTGTTTGATTGTATCTGCTAAGAAAATATGTTTGGTTTTCAGTCAGTATCACTGGCCATGCTTCATCATACCTTTTAGAATTTATGAAAGGCTTTCACATTTATTATCTGCCATTTATTTCCTACCACAAAGCTATGTGTTACTAACCTATCTTAAAAGTGAAGAAACAGAGGAGTTGTGCCTTAATTTTTAAATTCACTTCCAGATCTGAACTGTATTTTTATATATATAGTTCAGTTTAATACGTTCGTAAGATTAAGTGCTAAATCACTCATTATAATGAAGAAAAGGGAACCTAGAGTATATTATGTGCTAAGTTGCCTGTACTTGATGCTTTCACATTTATATTATTTAATCCCTGTAACAGTCCTGTAAGCAGTTTTCCCATTTTACAAGTTAGGAGACTAAATGGTACTTGGTTTCCGTTTTCTACTGACTTAACCTTCATTCCTGCCAGAGGAGTGTTTTTAATGTATTTTCTGAAATCCTAAATATTCTAACATAAAAAACCACCCTGATGAGGACCATGTTTTTTCCCTATTGCATTTGTCCATAAACATTACACCCTTACTAGAATATGCCTAAAGCTAAGGAAGAAAAATTTTCTTACTGTGTTCATATCCTAATTCAAGAAATATTTACTTCTTTAACCACCTCCACTTAAACAAGGAGATTGCTGTGCTCTCACTTACCTGAGAAGCCTCACTGCCTTATTTCTATATCCAGAAATAGTCATTAATTCTTCTTCCACAATCTGGGCCCAAATCAGTGATGGATAAAACTCCCCACAGTAACCTAAAAACAGTGTGTTTATTTCTCCCCCTTACATTTAAGGAACCCAAAGAATATAACCTGTCTCAAGGGACCTAAGAACTTTAGATACTTTAAGGGGATTATATATGTACTAGTGGCCTGGTGCACGAAATTCATGCACATTAAAAGGGGATTAATTAGAGGAAATATTTTAATATTGCTACTTGCCCTTTCTCTATAATAGAAGTGTCAGAGATGAAAGAAACTTAGTAAAATGTATATGAAAATATTCCTCCTGTCAGAGTCTGGGGCACACCATGGGACTCAGAGTCAAGTCCCTGCCCACCCATGTGCGCCTCAAAATTATACAAGACCCAGACCCGGCCGACCCCCCCCCCCCCCCATTGGGCTAGATCCAGACCCGGCTGGTCCCACCCTTGTCAAGCCCCGCCGGGCGGGAGGAGCACCTTGAAGGTCCCCCGTCAAGCCCCGCCGTGTGGGGGATGTGGCCTGAGATCCCCTGTCAAGCCCCGCCGAGTGGGGAGCATGGCCTGAGGTCCCCCATCAAGCCCTGCCGGGTGGGGGGTGCACCTTGAGGTCCCCCGTTAATCCCCGCCAGGAGGGGGCGCAGCCTCCCAGGCCCCCCGCCAGGCCCCATGGGGGGGGGGTGTGCAGCCTTAGGTCCCTGCTAATTGCTCATTAAGGCTCGTTACGGGAACTTGACCTCCGCTGTGGGTGCAGCCATCTTGTGTTACAGAAACCCCCGCCTCCGCTGTGGGCGCCACCATCTTTATGGCAGAGTGATGGTCAATTTGCATATTCCCTCTTTATCATATAGGATTTTTATAGTAGATGTGATCCTCAGTGGGTGAACATGAGAAATTTTCATTGATTATATATCTTTTTTCTGATTGTAAAAGTATATGTGAGTATTGTAGAAAATTGTAAAGTACAGAAATACATAAAGAAGGAGACAGAATATTTTTTTAGGCCTTCAATTGCTTATTTGAAAGTTTTGGATTTTTTTTCCTTTCTATAATATGTTAGTGGTTATAATACATTAAAGGTTTCTCAGACCTTCCTATTGCCATAACCCTAGGCACAAAGTAAACATACAGCCTTAGGGTGAGGGAAAGGACTGGGCAGGCAGATGGAGGGATTGGTTATTTTGTGAAAGGTGCTGTGCTTGGGACATCTAAGTGCTCAGTAGGTGGCTTAATAGTTGTAGGAGTTATAATGATGTTAATTATCTATCACCTAGCACAGAATTGATGTGGATCCCTAATAGAGAGCCTGCCCTGGTGCTGTTTTTCTGGTAATATGGGATATTTATGAATGGTAACCTGTGGATAGTTCTGTTGCCCATGATTGTCAGTAGCCAAGGCTCACACTCATTAGCAGCACACTTCTATCCTCAATATCCCACTTGGGAATGTTGATGCTTTGGTGCAGAGATTAATTTTTTATCTTGTGAAACATAATTTCCTCTGTCCATAATGACTTCCTTCCCTTAACAGAGCCAGCTCTAACTTATCCCAAGTCTTAGCCCAGATAGGCATAGCTCGCACAAAGCTCCCTAGGAAGCCTGCACTGGGTGGTGTGCCGTCTCTTGTACCACCGGGGTGCTGGGTGATTAGCTCTCTCATTCCCATCCACCTCTATTGAAGGGAGAATGATTTGAAGTCAACTTAAGGGAGTTTTTTTATTTGTTTGTTTGTTTTGTTTTTTTTTTTTAGTGGAAAAGAAATAATTAGTTGTAAAAGTATGGAAGAATTTAGGAAACAGTAATCAGTTTAAGGAAGTACTTTTAGGGAAGAAAATAAATCTTATAAGTGGAGAAATTTGGTAGATAATGAAGAAGGCCTTTTTAAATTGGGAGAGAAAATATAGGAAACTGTTGTAAAAGCCATGGTACACAGTACAGGTTCACTGGCAGATTCCTTTCAGAAACCACAGAACACTGAAGTCATTGAACAAACCACAAAATTGATAAACATATCTGCATAAAAGTTGGAAAATTCTGTAGAACAGAAACATGAGTAGTCAGAAAGCAGATTGAGGTGGGAGATTTTTCAAGATGTATGAAAGAAAAATGGCTAATTTCCCTAATCCTTAAAAAACTATAGAAAGATGGACAAAGGACATCGACAGAAATAACAAAAGAAAACTAAATGGCTAATTATATAGGGAAAGGGCATTCATTTCTAGTGAAATAAAGTATTTGAATTATGAACTATCTTTGGGGGAAAGGAGTGGGAAAGCCAATCAAGTTAGCAGAGACTAAAATGTGCAGTGTTTAGGGAGGGTATGAAAAAACCTATTCTGTTACTGGTGGGGTTGTGAATTATATTAAATGATCCAGAAGAAATTTAAAAATAACTGCCAGAATTTTGCTTGTAAATATTTGACCTAGCAATTTATTTTACTTATTGGAATTTCTCATAGAGAATCTTAAAAGCTTGTAAAGATTTATGCACTAAGATATTCATTCATAATATTGATAATAGTGAAAAATTGGCAGTGTTTAATAGGAGTTTATATAAGTAAATTATATGCCCTAGCCTGTTTGGCTCAGTGGACAGAGTGTTGGCCTTTGGACTGAAGGGTCACAGACTTGATTCCGGTCAAGGGCAGGTACCTCAGTTGCAGGTACGTGGTTGGGCTGGTGCAGGAGGCAACCAATCTATGTGTTTATCTCATATCAATATTTCTCTGTCTCCCTCTCCCACTCTCTTTAAAAAATCAACAGAAAAATATCCTCAGGTGAGGATTTTTTTAAAAAAGTAAAATATATGATGTCTATTGTATGAAATTCTGTGTATCTGTTCAAGAATCTTAAAAAAAAAAATCCTCACAGAGGATATGCCAGTTGACTTTAGAGGGAAGAGAAGAGTAGGGTGAGATATGTGCCCTGACCAAAATGGACCCATACCTTTTGGCATAATGTGATGACATTCCAACCAACTGAGCCACACTAGCCAGGGCTCCTTTTTGAGTCAAGTCTGGTTTGAATATAATGACTATCTGTTAATCTTTCCATTTGTTGGAAACCATATTGAGAAAGCACGGACTTATGGAATGGATTTTTTATCTATTTCCATGAGTAGTGGGATGGAGTGATGCAGAGAATGGATGAGTGTGCTGATGAGCAGTTGAAATGCTGACCCAGCCACATTCCTTGATATCATCTGCTGTTTAGCTTTGTTAACACCATTTAGTTTTAATTTCCTTCATCAAGGATACCGTGACTCATGAACTGTTTGGTACAGCAGGAATTATCTTCTGTTTATTATTCTTGCTGTGAACTGTGTATTTGTTTTAATTTTGTGTGTGTGTGTGTGTATATGTGTGTGTGTGTGTGTGTGTGTGTTAACAAAGCCCAAGAGAATCAACCAGCTTTTAGAGCTGAACAAAGTTGTTTGTCATCCCAGTTTGTTCTAGTGCAAAGTGGAGTGGCATTTTTATGACATCTGAAAGGAGAACTTTCATAACTTCTAAAAGCAAGATTTTATTTTCCTCTGTCAGTTTTTTTTTTGCATGGTTTGATGAATCTTGTCAGTTTGTCATATCCTTCAGGTTACGGGACCATGAATCACCACATTGCCTTAGTGAAATAGAAATAAATACCACATTAGTTTCTCTTTTTTATATACAAGAAAATGGAAGCATAAAACAAATAAGTATATGTCCAAGCTACAGAACATATCATTAGATTTCTTAATATTGTGGCAGATTTTTTGTTATAAGTTGCAGGCCCACAATAAAAGCCTGATAAGTTAATTGATGAGTTTCTGGGTTTGTCGACATTTCACATTGGTTTCTGAGTTTTCTAGTACTGTTCCATGCACTAACCACCTTACTGGCCATTGCAGTGCTACCCAATAGAACTTTCTGCCATAGTGTTCTGTTTCTACACTTTCCAATATGGTAGAAGCCAACCATTTGGGGCTGTTGAAATGGGGTTAGTGTAACTGAGGAACTGAATTTTTAAAAAATATGTTTTTATTGATTTGAGAGAGAGAGAGAGAGAGAGAGAGAGAAATCAACATGAGAGTGAACCATTGATTGGTTTCAGGCGCCCCCAGCCCCCATGGGTCCGCAACCTGGATATGTGCCCTGACTGGGAACCAAACCGTGACCTCCTGGTTCATGAGTTGATGCTCAACCACTGAGCCACAACAGCTGGGCTTGATTTGTATTTTTGTTTAATATATTATGTACTAGAGGCCCGGTGCATGAAAATTCATGCACTGGAGTGGGGTACCTCAGCCTGGTCTTCCCCCTCTCACAGTCCGGGAGCCCTGAGGGGCAGGAGGCGACCTGGCGATCAGGGGAAGGCTATGCAACATCACACCTCTGCTGCTGCCACTGCCCGCAGCGCAAGCCTTGGCCAGCCCTGGTTACCTGAGCCTTGGGTGGCCCTGGACGGCTGGGCAGCCGCTATCCAAGGCTTGCCTGAACCTCGGGCCGGCCCTGGGCGGCTGGGAAGCTGAGGGGACTGGGGGTCTCTGGAGGCAGGCATGTGGAGTGGCCGGGCCTGCCTGGGGGCGGGCCCAGCCTTGCCGCGCCTGCGTGGCAGTCAATTAGCATATTCCCTCCTTATTGGCTGTGGGCACTGCCATCTTTGAGTGCGGGGCAGTCAATTAGCATATTCCCTCATTGGCTGTGGGTGCTGCCATCTTTGAGGGTGGGGCAGTCAATTAGCATGTTCCCTCCTTATTGGCTGTGGGCACTGCCATCTTTGAGGGTGGGACAGTCAATTAGCATATTCCCTCTTTATTAGATAGGATTGTACATTTGCAGTGACTATTAAATGGTCATAATTAGACCATTTGGGTATGTTTCAAACATGGTGTTATAGAACTAATGTTTTAGAGAGACTTGTAAGGAAGAGATTTTTAGGGCTGTTATTGTTCTGTTAAATTGTTTTCATTTAGGCTAGCAATCAGGAGACATCAAAAGCCTGTCCTTAGACTGTATACCATGTTGCTGTAGCACCATTGTTTCCTTGAAAATAGTGAGCCACTGTTAACTCAATTGAAAATCAGTTGCACAATGTTAGTCATGCGATTTGAAAATCAAATCCTTATTAAGCAACAAGCTACATTTCAGGTGTTCAGTAGCCACGTGTGACTGGTGTTTACCATATTGAACAGCACAGATCTAGAAGATCCAATGACACTGTTAGACACCTGCAGCTAGTTGACCTTATAGAGCACTGTACCCAGCAGCTGTAGAATACACGTTATTTCAAGGGCACGTGGAACTTTCACTGAGGCAAACCAAATGCAAGGCAGTCTCAAATCAAAAGATTGAAATCTCACAGTATATTCTATGACCACATCAGAATCAAGAAAACAACAGTAAGTTACCTAAGAAAGCCCTTATATCTGGAAATTAAACAATATACTTGTAAATAACTTGTGAGTCAAAGGAATCTTATGGAAAATTAGAAATTTCAAACTAAATACACTTCATCAACGTTTTTGGTGTAGCTAAAACAATACTTGGGAAATTTATAACTTTATATGGTTATATAAAAAGAAGGGGGCATAAAATCAATGATTTTAGTTTTTACCATAAGCTGCAAAAAAGGGGCAAACCCAAATAGGTAACAGGAAGAAAATAAGTATGAAAGTAGAAGACTGACAGAAGATTCATTGCAATATGATATCCCTTCCTTTTGGTAACTTTTTACTAAGTAATTTTTTAATCTCCAATGACTAGCAATAAAATAAGTGAGAAAAAATTGTACTTTAAAAATATAAGGAACAAATTGATAAGTGAGAGCAGGATTAAATTAAGCTTAATAATTAAATTTTTATTTTTTTGTTGGTCATCTTCACCCAAGGATATTTTCTCCATTGATTTTCAGAGAGAATGGAAGGAAGGGGGAGAGATAGAGAGATGCGTCAATTGGTTGCCTGCCCCAACCCGGGCTGGGGATCGAGCCTGCAACTGAGGTATATGCCCTTGATCAGACTCCAACCTGAGACCCTTTAGCCTGTGGGCTGATGGTCTATTCAACAAGCCAAACTGGCTAGGGTAAAAATTATCTATAAAAATAAAAGCATAATATGCAAATCGACCAAATGGCCGACCGGATGACCTTCTGGACAAAGCCTGGGCTGCAGCCGTGGGATTGAGGCAGCCGCTGTGACTGCGAAGGCCTACTCTTGCACGAATTCAAATTCAAAATTTATATTAGTGCTCTAATGTGCCTGTTTGGAAATAATTTAACCTAGGGGTGGAAACCTATAGACATTTTATAAACCCATGACAGAATTTTGAAGCTGAGAGTTTGAATTTAACTTTAAAATAACCAAGTGGTGAGCAGCCACATGCATCCCATTGAGAAGTTGTGTACAGTACTTACTTTCAGTGACATTTCCAGGTGAGTCTGCAGAAATGATTGGCTTCCCAAGAGTTCATATAATCTGATTGAACTGAAAAAAAAAAAGAATATTTAAATAAAACATTACTTTTTTTCTTACAGGTTTATAGACAAGAAGGAACGGTTAAGCCAACTTAAGAGCAAACAGGAAGAATTTCAAAAAGAGTGAGTCTTCATTTGGGTTTTTAATTTGTGGAGGTTATGTGCTTTAATTCAGTGCTGTGGTATGCAGATATATGGGTTGCTAAATTACTAAATTTAGGATATAATCTGAAAGTACAGAAGAGCAGTGCATCTTGGAGAAGTAAAATAGGAGAGTTATCAAGTTTCTAGAAAATACTGGGATCAGCCCTGGTGCCTGTGCACAGTAGGCACTAGTGATGGGTTGGATGAATTAAGCCCCCAGCCTGATCATTGGTATGTGGCAGACGGGTCCAGGACAGTAGGCATGTTAGACTTAAGTTAGTAATGGTGGCTCCTATAGAATGTTACTGCTTCCATTTAGCTTTCTTCTCTATCAGTGTTTTTGCAAAGTGTGGTCTGCAGATCATCTGTATCAGAATTCATTAACTGAGGTAATGGTTAAAAATGCAGATTCTTAAAATCCTATCCTCAGGTATTCTGATTCAGTAGGTCTGAGGGGAGGCCTGGGAATCTGAGTTATTACTGAGCACTGCCGGTGCGTCTCTCACACTCTGGATTTGAGAATTTTCCTATAGAGTCTCCTATCCCAAACGGGCCCAGTCACTGTTCTGCAGACACACCCCTGGTCAGATAAACACATTCATAAGTGGAATAAACAGCCTGAGATGCCTCACATTAGAGCAGTGGTTCTCAACCTTCTGGCCCTTTAAATACAGTTCCTCATGTTGTGACCCAACCATAAAATTATTTTCGTTGCTACTTCATAACTGTTATGTTGCTACTGTTATGAATCGTAATGTAAATATCTGATATGCAGGATGGTCTTAGGCAACCCCTGTGAAAGGGTCGTTCGACCGCCAAAGGGGTCGTGACCCACAGGTTGAGAACCGCTGCATTAGAGAAACCTGCTTGGATTAATTTAACTTGGTTATTTCTCTAACTTATTCAGCCATAGAAACTATTTATTTATATTTAAATTCTTCCCTGACACCATGCTTATTTTTTTTAAGAAGAGGGGAAGAGAAAGAGAGACAGGGACAAATGGAAAGGGAAGGAACAATGACCAGTTGCCTTCCTGCACACACCAGGACTGGGGTTCAAAGCCTTTCAGTGTACAGGATGGTGCTCCAGCCAACGGAGCCGCACTGGCCAGGGCAGAAACTTCTATTTTTATAGAACACTTCACTCCATAAAACAAATATTCGCAGATACTGGCTTGTGCCCTTTCTTTCTGTAATGATCTTAGCATTTTTAGTCATGAGTTCTCTTGTAACTATCATTAATTATGGCTGATGGGAATTATTAGTTATGACTGAGGACAAAGGCTCTGGCTATTCTGGAAGTTTATGATGAACGTCTGCAGAAAGGCTCCGGACTGTGTTAGAAGTGCAAAAAGAAGAAGGTGAGAAAAAATTGCAGAGAAGAGAATTTGGAAAACACTTTGCTTCAGTCCCATTTTGCTATTTCAAGCCATTTATAAGAAGTTGTGTTTTAAAGTTGTTGATTTTACATTTTTTTAAAAATATACTTTATTGATTTTTTACAGAGAGGAAGGGAGAGGGATAGAGAGTTAGAAACGAGAGAGAAACATCGATCAGCTGCCTCCTGCACACTCCCTACTGGGGATGTGCCCACAACCAAGGTACATGCCCTTGACCGGAATCGAACCTGGGACCCTTGAGTCCGCAGGCTGACGCTCTACCACTGAGCCAAACCGGTTAGGGCTGATTTTACATTTTTGAGCTTTATAAAATTTAATTTTTTAAGGGCTTATTCTGTATCTCTCTTCTCCATACAGAGTGTTAAAAGCTATGGAAGGAAAATGGATAACAGATCAGTTGGTAAGCTGTAAGAACTATTTAAATAATATTCTTTGTACTTGAGGTTACATGTTTTTAAGTTGGTGGTGCTTCAAAAATCATTGTGAGTTTAAATTTGTTTTTGTTCATTTTTGGAAGTCCTTTTTTTGAATATATTTGTAGGGTGGGCTTCTCAGATATTTTATTTGGGACCAAAAACGGGGTGTTGACAGTTCATTAGGGAGCTATTGTAAAGGTTATGAAGTCTGGTAGTGACATAGAAATATAAGAACAATGGGCTATCCTTTGGAGAAAACGTACTCATCATAAACACACACAGTTTGAATGGAGTAATGATTAAATGTGAAAAGTAAACTCATAAAAATATGAAAATAGGGGAAAGTTTTTATGTAATTTAGGAGTGAGGACCTTGATAAGTCATAAAAGAAAACATTTTATGTTTGTTTTGTTAATCCTCAGGGCATAAACAGAACTTTCTGTGATGATGCAAATGTTCTATATCTACACAAACCAATATGGATGGTAGCCATTAGCCACATGTGTTGAGCATTGTTGAGCATAAGACATATGGGTAGTGTGAGTAAGAAACTGAATTTTTAAAAATATGTTTTTATTGATTTTAGAGGAATGAAGAGGGAGGGAGAGAGAAACATCAGTAATGAGAAAGAATCATTGATCAGCTACCTCCTTCAAGCTCGCTCCTGGGGATTGAACCCATGTGCCCTGACTGGGAATCAAACTTTGTCCTCCTAGTTCATGTGGCTCAATCACTGAGCCACCCCAGCCAGGCTGAATTTTGTTATTTTATGTAATTTTAATTGACTTTTAAATAACCACATGTGGCCAGTGGCTATATATTGAACAGAGCATGTTAAGAGAATATCCTGCAACATATTTTTCTGTGAATTTCTCTTTAATTTTCTAACAGCTTCTGCATTGAGCCATAATAACACATTTTTTTTTCTTTTTGGTAATCTGACATAGTTATAGAAGCTATAATACATATAACAGCTTTCATTATATTTTCTAAGATATACCTGAAAAATGGGTGGTGATACTGGGTAGATAATCATATTAGTTATGAGACCATTTCTGATATTTATTGCATACTTTTTAAGAGATGGAAAATAATGTCCTGCAAGATGAGGATTGAACAGCTGAAACAAACAATATGCAAAGGAAATGAAGAAATGAAGAAAAGTAAGTAATTGGAGCCCCTCCCTCCAGCCCTAATAAAGAGCTCATGTGGAATTTCATGGGATTAATAAATTAGAGAGGCAGAGAAAGAGAGAGGAGTAGGGGTAACAGCAACCTGGAAAAGTTACTGCTTACCTTCCTCTCCTTATGAAACGTTTGTGTAAGGGATTCTTATACAAAGACCTTTAAATAACCTGCTACCTTTCTCACTTTAAAAAAGTTAAGGAACATGTGTTTCCCATTTGCCTTAGCTAAGAGGAGACTCCGAGTCTAAGTTGGAATCCATTTATAATTATTAGTTCCTACCAGAGGCATAGAATATTTTTTTCTCCATTAGTGTATTTTATACATATTTTAATCTGTATTAATTTTACATTATACTTTTACTGATACTCTATCAATATGTAATTATTAAAATTTAAGAGAGTTCTCTTAGAAATCCTACATCCTTGCAAATACTCTGTGTATTTCTGAAGGTCAGTGTTTAAAGTGTAGAATGAGTCACCATCAGACCTTGTGAATCCCTCTCCTGTTCATTGCTTTCAGAAGCAATATCTTGTAAGGGGTACATAGTGGAGTTAAAGCTTCCTTTGAAGACATTTGTCCTCATACAGTTCTGTGGAGTTTCACAGGATTAACAAGAGAGACGCAGGGCAGCATGATGAAGGGGCACCAGGACTGCAGAGAGTCAGTTGCTCACTGGGTTTGGCACACATCCTCCAAAGCCTCTGGTTCAGCAGCAGTGCAGGGACTTGTCATTTAACCTTGAACCTGGTGTACCTCTTTCCTCACGCTTCCGTGATGTTCACCCCAGGGGTTGGCTACCAGGTATCTGAGAACCGCCTCAAATTGCTGAATTTACTGACCTTGTGCAGTTCTCTGGTGATCAAGTTTAAAACTTTGATCAGCTCTAATAGATTCCTCGCACCAAAATACAAAAGCAGCAACCACAGAGAATAAAATGAATGGTTCTAAAGCAGTGAACTTAAAACAGTGGTTTCCATCCCTGGCAGAGAGATCTGGGAACCTTTTTAAAACCTAGAGAGAGAATTTTGGGACCCACCCTGGATTTAGAAAATGCAATCTCATGCATGGGGACTGGGTCAGTGGTTCTGAAACTGTCTGTAGTAAAAGACCAGTAGTTTCTCTTTGATTTCCAATCTGTCATAAACTGATACCAATACTTTCATAAAGTATAATAAAATAAATTACTAGAAAGATGGTCATACGCTTGAATTTTATGGCAGTGTCAAATTGCCATGTCAAAGAAAACATTTTCTAAGTCTGTATTTCTGTACATCTCTTGTCTGATTGGGAAAAGTTTATAGACCGACCCAGATACATACATAGGCCACACTTTGAGTCCACTGCTCTGGGTTGTTCTGATGGTCTGCCGGGGTCCCGAACCCTGCTCTTTACAACATAATGCAGGCTAGTTGCCATGCTCACAAGCTAAGGGAGTTCTTAGATTCCAGGACCTATTTGTAGAGATAATTGTTGAGTTTGATTTACTTTAGATTCTGAAGGCCTTCTCAAAACCAAGGAAAAGAATCAGAAGCTTTATACTCGAGCACAACGGCATCAAGAGAAAAAGGAGAAGATTCAGAGGCATAACCGCAAACTTGGGGACCTGGTAGAAAAAAAGACCATCGACTTAAAAAGTCATTATGAGCGTCTGGCAGATCTTCGGCGGTCTCATATATTAGAGCTCACCTCTGTCATCTTCCCAATTGAGGAAGTGAAGACTGGTGCGAGGTACAGTAAGCAAGTCTTTTGACTCTACATCAGGTCCCAAAATCAAGTATTTTTTAAGTGTGTCAGCACCTCATTTATTTGACCTCATTCTGGGCCATTGGCTTTCCTGGTAATTAAACTGAATGAAGTCTTATCTGCTTCAGCAAACACTGCACACTGCATAAAGTTGGGGAGGCAGCCAAGGTAAAGGGCGGTGGCCCTCGGAGGAGCTTGTGTACACTTACAGCTTCCCGATGAGGTGCTGACTCACCCTGATCAAAAAACCATCTGATGGCCGATGTCAGCTGCAATCCCAATCGGGTTGTTTATTAGTTATATGCTGTGAGGCAGGTTCTTGAACCTCAAAGTCAGGGATAATAAACGCCTACTTCACATAGGATCAGGAGCTAAAGTGGAAGAAAACACCTGGTGCTTGGGGTTTCTTACATGGTGACAGCCTTTTACTGCTGACTAGCTGTTGTCAAGCGCCGGGTATCTTCAGTCTACTCTTAGCAGTAGTACATGGATAACCTATTGAGTCAAAAGACAACTAGTCAGGCCAAAGCTGGTAAAACTGACAAAACAGAAACATTATGCCACATTAAATTGTTGTGGGCCGGGGCCTGCCAGGGGAACATGAAAGAGGCCACAGATTCCTTTTGGAGAGAGCTTTGAACTCAATGAGTAGACACATGAGCAAAGCTCACTCTCCCGAGTTAACAAAATTTATGGACAAGAAGTTATCCTTGAAATTAACTGGTGGCAGACATGTCCAAGGAATATTGCGGGGATTTGATTCCTTTATGAATCTTATGGTAGATGAATGTGTGCAGATGGCAACAACAATATTGGAATGGAGACTCATAATTGCATACAAAGTTGCAGAAGAGAAAATGGAGAAAAACTTTCTCCTTTCTACCTGTGCTGTTTAAATTTTTCTGTTAGTATATATTAGTATATACTGTTAATTCTTTTTTAAGCTGATGATTTTGAAGTTACCTCTATAATAAGATTTCGTGTTCATTCTTTTTTTTTTAAAACAATTTTATTTTGTTTTTTAATCCTCACCCGGGGATATTTTTCCATTGATTTTTAGGAAGAGTTGAAAAGAGAGAGGCAAAGACAGAGAGAAACATTGATGTGAGAGAAACACATCGATTGGTTGCCTCCTTCACAAGCCCTGACGAGGGCCCAGGCCGGGGAGGAGCCTGCAACCGAGGTACGTGCCCTTGACTGGAATCGAACCCGGGACCCTTCGGTCCACGGGCTGACACTCTGTCCACTGAGCCAGACCGGCTAGGGCTCATGTTCATTCTTATTTCTCAAACTTCCTTGAGTGGGAGGAGGAGGAAGGAGCATTACAGCTTGGAGCTGGCCTAGTCCCCCGGCCTTAACCGTGATAGCCGGTAGGCGTTATGCTATGTGTGTTGTGGCAGAAGGAAAAAGGATCGAGAACCCCTGGCCAAGAGAACAGAATCTAAACTTAGTGCAGTGCAAAAGGCCCTTCCCAGTCTCCCATTTCCTACCCACCTTTCCAATACCGTCTCCTGGCACTTCCTTTGTGTATTCTACACAACCCCACTGATCATCTCTGCTCCCAAACACACCGTGTCCTTCCCCTCCTGTGCATTTGTGCCTGCTGTGACTTCTCATTCCCATCATGCTTCAGACCAGCAGATCTCCAAGTGTGGTCTATGGGCTCTGTGGGTCCCTGCAACCCTTTCAGGGGGTCCATGCAGTCAAAACTGTTTTTACATAATAATATTAACACTTTATTTTCCTTTTTCACTCTGTTGACATTGCACTGGTGGCTCAGAAGCCAGGGTGGGTAAAACCTCTGGTGCCACAATACATTTCAAGGCAGACATTTCAAGGCAGTGACACCAAGCTGCAGTAATAGTCATTGTATTCTGCCATGTACTTGCAGTATTAAAACAAAAACAAAAACCAGTTTTGCAGCAACAGTGTTCTTGATGAAACAATAGGAAATATTTTTATTTAAATTTTATTGGCTTGCCCTGCAAACACACCTTTTTAAGATAGTATATGATGAAATGGGAAGTGTGCAGAAGCTGCTTTTGCTGCAGACCGAAGTGCCATGGTTGGCTCAAGGAAAAGCACTTGAATGAATTGCAAGCAGTAGTTGCTTTTTTCATGGGACACTATTTTACTTGAAAGAACAATTGAAAGACTTGGGTATTATAGAGGTTTTTTAAAAATGTTGATCAGTGCTGTATTGTGTTATTTGACTCTTTACTAATGTACTTGTTTGAAAAATACAGATTTTTTTCATAAGGATATACTATGTTAACATGTAATAATTTTATTATTTTTTAATGAATCATTTTAAATGTTCTCGGATTTCTTATATAGCAAATCTCAATAGACCTAACCCACACACACAAAAGCTCTTTGAGGTCCTCAGAAATTTTTAAGCATATAAAGGGATATTGCTACCAAATTATTGAAGAACCTGATATTTGAGGCCCTTGCTCCTGGTGCCCCCTTACACCCATGTGGACTTCTGTGCTACAGCTGGTTTGATCTTCATCTCTGATAGCAATCACTTATCTCTGCATGTTCCACGTCACTTCCTGTGCTCATGTGCTTCTTCCCAGTGTTCTGTATATCTGGCAAGTATATTGCCTGCTCTTTAAAACCCAGTCCCTTGAAACCCGTATGCATCTTCTGATTTTTAGAGATCCCGCGGATGTGTCTTCAGAGAGTGACAGTGCCATGACCTCCAGCACCGTGAGCAAGCTTGCCGAAGCCCGGAGGACGACTTACCACTCAGGGAGATGGGTCTGTGACGACCACAATGGGGACACCAGCATCAGCATCACAGGGCCTTGGATTAGCCTTCCCAACAACGGGGACTACTCTGCCTACTATAATTGGGTGGAAGAGAAGAAAACCACGCAGGGGCCTGGTGAGAAGCAAGACAGTGTTTGGAAATGTTTATAAACATGAATTTTGTTTGTTTGTTTTTGTTGAGGGATTACGAATTTATTCGATCACCCACACACCAGGTGGCTGAGCCTGGATGGCTCCAGCCAACATGTATACTTTTAATTGAGGTAAAATTTATATAACAAAATGAACAGTTACGAACAATTAAGTGGCATTTAGTACATGTACAGTGTTATAAAACCATCACCTCTGTCTAGTTCCAAAACATTTCCATCACCCCACATGCAAGCTCCAGGGCATGAAGCAGTCACCCCCAGCGCCCTCCCCAGAGCCGAGCCCTGGCCATCACCAATCTGCACCCTATTTCTGTAGCTGTGTCTATTCTGGGCATTTCATATAAATGGGATCATACAAAACATGGCCTTTCGTGTTTGGCTTCTTTTACTTATATGTTTTCAGAGTTCGTCCACATTGTTGCATGTATCATTCTTTTTATGATTGAATGACATTCCATTGTATGGATATACCACATATTGTTTCTCCATCTGTGGATGTGCTGGAAACATGTATTTCATATTTCTCCTCTTGGGGGTCGATACTGCTTTATCTATATAAAAAGACCTCACTATTTAAAGAAGCATAGTTAGCCTGAGTCCCATCCCATTTTGATAGTTTTTAACTTTGTAAAGAGCTTGTTTAGCAGTCCTAACTGGAGATTGAATACCACACTAGAGGAAACCCTTTAACACCCCTGTAGCTTTCCTCTGGTGGAGAATTGTTCATTTAGTCATTCAGCACATACTTGGTGAGATGTGCTTTAGTCATGTACTGGTGATGCACAGGTGGTGTCACCCAGACAGCTGTGCCTCCCTTCCTGTGGGGAGGACAGGAAGCAAGCTGTCATCAAAAGCATTGTACGCTGAGTGCGTGCTGTGGGCGGGGACTTCAATTTCATTTATGCTGGGCCTGTCTAGGCCCACTTACTTAGGTTTCACTCAGTGAAAATCATAGCAATGAAACATGGACCTTTTATTAGGAAGGAGTAAAACGTTACCATAAATGTAATGATAAATTAGAAATCATAAAATGCAGGTTCATTTGTATTTTTTGCTGAAATTAAGGTTGTTCTGTGTGTGGTGGTTGTTTTTACACTTTAGACATGGAGCATAACAACCCTGCTTACACCATCAGCGCTGCGCTGTGCTATGCGACTCAGCTGGCCAACATTTTGTCTCATATACTCGACATAAATCTTCCCAAAAAGCTGTGCAACAGGCAAGTAACTGAGGGCGGTGATGTCTTCTTCGTCGTGGTTCTCTTACGCTCTTTTTGTGTTCTCATTTGTTCTAATGAATCCAAAATCAAGAATTTAAGTGTTATTCAGACAGAAATGACCATAGCTACTGAGATTAATTCCATAAGCCTCATGTGGTACAAACTGGTGTTATCTTACAATTGCATGTGAAGTGTTTGAGAAGACCACAGAGAATTCTCCCACTTGCAAAAAGAACTGATGGAAAACCCAGGATATTCAGAGGGTGTGCTCATGTGCAAGAACTGGGGAAACACTTGGCAAATTTTGTTTTTTGTTTTTAAAATGATTTTAGAGAGAAAACATCAATTTGTTGTTTCACTTGATTTATAAATTCATTGGGATCAAATCAGCATTTGTCTTTTATTTGTCTTTCAAAAGTACAAATACAGCCCTGACCGGTTTGGCTCGGTGGATGGGGCGTCGGCCTGCGGACTGAGGGGTCCCGGGTTCGATTCCGGCCAGGGGTGTGTGCCTTGGTTGCGGGCGCGTCCCCAGTGGGGAGTGTGCAGGAGGCAGCTGATCGGTGTTCCTCTCTCATCGATGTTTCTGGCTCTGTGTCCCTCTCCCTCTCTGTGAAAAATCAATAAAATATATATATATAAAAAAAAAAGTACAAATACAAAGACAAATGCTCATTTGTGGCATATTGGGACACACTCTAACCAACTGAGCTACCCAGCTGTGGCTGTTTGATTTTTTTATAATAAAAACGTGGTTTAAAATTTAAAAAAAAAATGTAAAGGTTTACAGTCTACCCAAATCCTAATACTTTCCTACCAACCTTTAGTTTTCCTTGCATTTCAAGCAAATATAAATATGGTTACCATCTTTTAAACACAAAAGGTATCATGCTGTACCAAGGTGTTTTAAACACCTTGCTTTTTAAGTTTTTATTTATTTAACAAATATTTATTGAGTGTCTGCTATGTGCCAGGCACTGTTCTAGGTACTAAGAAGGTACACTGGTGATGAAAGCATAATCCCTACCCCTTTGGCCCTTAACTTTAATGAAGGGACAAATAAACAGTATGTCAGATGGTGACACGTGCTGTGGAGAACGTTAAAGCAGGGTGAGAGAAAGGGATGTGGAGGCAGGGAAGGGCTTGCAGTGTTTGAGTGGGCAGGTGTGTGATCACGTGTGAACCTGAGGGAGGAAGGGAGCAAGCCAAGTGGACCCTGGGGAAAGAGGCTGTGAGCAGACAGAGGCCTGCAAAGCCCTGGAGGAGAGAGCTGGAAGGAGCACAGAGGAGACCGAGTGCGTCAGAAAGTAGGAGTGCAAATCGTGTGGGGCCTGTCGGGCCTTCAGCTCTCATCCTGCATAAAGTGGGCAACTGCAGAGTTTTCCTTTGTATAAGTGTCCCAGGATCTCACCAGTCCTCTATTGACACTTGTGGGTCATCTTACACATTCATCATTTCACTAGTTTGCAAGTATTTGTGTAGATTGTTTTCAGAAGTGGAATTGCTTAGTCAAAGGATCTATGTATTTGTAATTGTTACAGATTCAGTGAAATTGTTCATGAGGGGAATAGTTCATTCCTAGAAAGTTTCTAAGTACATTTAAGAGGCAAAGGCCTCAGGGTAAGTTTTATACTGAACTGCAGTGTAAAGTACACTCTTCAAAATGAACGTTGTAACATAGAATTTCCTCCAAAAAATACAACTTTACAAATTATGTTTGTTTTACAGTGAATTTTGTGGGGAAAATCTCAGCAGACAGAAATTTACTCGAGCAGTAAAGAAACTGAATGCAAATATTCTTTACTTGTGCTTTTCTCAGGTATGGAAAATGTGCTGTGAACTAATTTTTAATTTCTTAACATGGTTGAAAATAGTAATCAATTTTTTGTTTTTTTCTAGCATGTAAATTTAGACCAATTACAACCACTGCATACCCTCAGGAATCTAATGTACCTGGTCAGCCCGAATTCTGAACACCTAGGCAGGTAAGAAGGGTGTTTGTTGCTTTTCTCTGAGTGGTACTGTTGTGACGACTTTTAAGTGGTGTTGTATGTGTTGGCAGTGTACAGGGGCCTGTTCCTCAGCCCCAAATCTCCAAACAGGACAAAAATAATGCAGTCTCATATAGAAGGAAGCAATAGCTAATCATATTTGAGCCAGTATGGTTCTTAACATAATCGTTTCTCAGAGAAATTAATAGCATTTTAACACCTAAAACAGAAGAACCCAAGGGTTCCTGGCCTTTCTTGTGCTGTCCCTGAAGATCAAACGCCGTTTCTTTGAATCCACATCTGTTTCTTCTCTAGCCTGTTGCTTGTGCATCTTCTTTTGTGCCTGCTCATTCCTTCCCATAACAGTTCTTCACAATTCTCTGTCACTGAGTCAATCTGGCCACCATTTGTTGGATAAAGGGTATGAGATGTTTATGGGATGAATAGTTTAAAATCCATTAGCTTAAAAACAGGAGTAACAAAAAAGACCAACCAGGACTGGTCTATGGGGTCTTTTCAGTTTCTCAGCCCATAAAAAGCATGGCATTCATGAGGCTTATCTTTGGTCGCATCCAAGAGCCCCTTCTCTAGGTGCTGATCTTTTTTCCTTGTTCTTAGAGGTCTGTCCATTCATTTCTGCAGATAGGGCTTGGCTATTGTATTTGTACTTTTGAAAGACAAATAAAAGGTGGGAAAATTCTTGTAGGGTCTCTTCCCATCATTCATTTGCTTTGACACAAACCAGGGCTCAAGGGGAGTCCCCTCCACTGACCAGGATGCCTGGTTTCCTTCACATTGCAGTGAACTTTCTATGACAGTCTGCCTTCAACGGTTGTCTTATGTTTCTCCCCTCTTTCCTCCCCCTGCCTAAAACAGTAGTTAACTTTGGAAAGAGCTGTGGACTCTCTCCAGGAAACTGCACATGCACCTTGAATGTTTTGCCATTGTATAGGGACTTCAAACCCCTTATCCCAAATCCCATTCATTAATTTAGGAGCCACAGAAAACCTTTAGAAATCCATCCCAATTTTAGTGGTTGATTTCCATGGGTTTGCTTGCCATCCTCTCTGTACTTTATTTGTAAATGGTTCAATGTTAGGAAATTTATTATTCGTAATAAGGACTAATATTTATTTACACTGGGCTAGACACTTTACATGTCTTAAATCTCTCTTTGTTAAAAAATATGTTTTTATTGATTTTGCAGAGAAAGGAAGAGAGAAAAAAACATCAGTGTGAGAGAGAAACATTGATTGGCTGCCTCCTACACGCCCCCTACTGGGATCAAGGCTGCAATGTGCCCTCATGGGGAATCAAACCTTTTGGTGCATGGGATGACACTAACTCAACGGAGCTACACCAGCCAGGGCAGGATTATTATCCTTACTTTCACACAGGGGGCAACGTGGTAGCAGGCCAGCTAACTCGTGCCCATGGTCACAGAGCCAGTAAAAGTGGTGGAGCCAGGTCCCAACACACCTGGCTGACGACTCCCAAGTACTAGGTACTCATGCTTTTATTTTTTTTATTATTTTTTATTTTTTTTAAAATATATTTTATTGATTTTTTACAGAGAGGAGAGGGAGAGGGATAGAGAGTTAGAAACATCGATGAGAGAAACATCAATCAGCTGCCTCCTGCACACTCCCCACTGGGGACGTGCCCGAAACCAAGGCACATGCCCTCGACCAGACTCAAACCCGGGACCCTTCAGTCCGCAGGCCGACGCCCTATCCACTGAGCCAAACCGGTCAGGGCGGTACTCATGCTTTTAACCATGCACATTAACTTTATCACATTAACATACTAAAGAAGAAAGAACGTAGGACTATGCTTATGCAGATGCCAGAAAAGCAATGGATAAAATTCAGTTCCCCTTAATAAAGAAAACTATCAAATTAAAAAGAGATGATTAAGAAAGGATACCTACCATAAGCATGGAGCAAAAGCTAATTTAATGGCATATCGTCAGGAAGAAAAAGGGTGCCCTGCTTGCCCTGCTACATTAACATGGCTCTGGAGGCCCAGCCAAGGCAGGACATTTTAAACAAGGAATAAGGTGCATTTATATTGGAAAGAAGGAAGCTAAGCTGATCTATTGTAGATGGTATGATTAAACTGGATACCCAAAAGAACTATGAAGCTGTTAGAAATGATACTTGTCTGGTGTCTAAATATAAGATCAACATACATTAAAACAGTTGCTTTCTTATGTGCCAACCACAACTTGTTAAAAAAAAAGTAATGGGAAAAAAGATCCCTTTTACTTTAGCAACAAATGCTATAAACTATAGAGAAGTAATCCTTACAAAGTACATGCAAATTTATGTAAAGAAAATTTTGGAACTAAAAAAAATATTCAACCTGTAATTTTTGAATGTCTGCCCAGCACTGTATGAGGTGTGGCACTGAATGCAAGAAGGCCAGGGTGGTGATTTTCTAGGAGGAAGGCTCAGTATTGTAAAAGTGCTACTTCTCCCAAAAAGGAAACCTGGTCAGAATTTTAGCAGATATTTCATGGAACTTTGATAGGCTGATTCTAATGTTTAACTAGAAGCATAGTCTGCAAGGAAATTTTGACAAAGAATAATAAGGGATGGTCTTGGCCCCTTTTAAAACATAGTATAAAGGTAATTAAAACAAGACTCTGTTAGCATGCAAATCGGTGGAGCAATTAAAACAATAGAAGAGAGTACAGGAACAGACCCTTGTGTATGTGGGAAAATAATATATGATATGGGTGGCATGTTGAATCATCATAGCTCAATGGTGGTGGGTCAGTTGGGTATTCATATGAAGAAAATGTTGGATTTATATGACACTCCACATACAAAAATTAATTCCAGATGAAATAAAAGACTTTAATTTTAAAAACTATAACTAGGAGAAAAGAGTGTTTATAATCATAGGGTGGGGAGGGGATTCCCAAGCAAGCCACAAGACGCAAAAACCATGAAGGAAAGGAGTCACATATTTTTCTATGGAAAAACTCTAAATGTCTCTGGTAAAAGATACCATAAACAATGTTAAAAGACAAGCAATAGATATATTTTACAGTCTCTATAAGAGACAATGGATTAAAATCCAGACTCCTTAAATCTTTCAGGTCAATAAAAGACAGGCAAGCAACCTCATAAAAAAATAGAGAAACTATTCAAGCAGGCAGTTCACACAAAAGAAATGCAAGTAGTCACAATTCAGATGAAAAACATCTTTAGCCTCAATCAAGAATAAAGAAATGCAATTCAAAGCAGGTTTCCATTTTTTCATCTATCAGGTTAGCAAAAAGGAAAGGACATGATATCCAGTGTTGGTGGTTGTTTAGGAAAATTGGCAATCTTGTATTAGGGGTGGGCTTCCTTGTGGATCCGAGTTTTCTCTGGGCTTGCCCTTGAGTCAGCCCTCCATTTAGAGGGCTCTGTCCTAGAGACGTGCACACACACAGCCAGGCTCTCGTCACATCTGAGCTTTCCTGGTCTGTGAACCAGGAGGTCGGCGCTTCAGAACCCCCTTTCCACACCTCCCTCAGTCAGGCTTAGAAGACTGGTAATGGAACTTGGGCGGGACTTCCTGTTTCCATGGAGACCAGCTAAACTGAGGATTCCATCCTGACTCCAACATAACTTATTTTTCTTTGAAATAAATGCAAAATTACAGAAAAATTAAAAAATCGTACAAAGATGCATATACCCTTTACCCAGATTCATCTTTGTTAGTGTTTTACCCCATTTGCTTTGTCATTTGTGCAATCTCTCCCCCTCTCCTCCCTCCTCTCTCTCCATAAATACACACACACAAAATTTTTTTTTCTGAACTCTATGAGGATAAGTTACATATGTCATGGCTCTTGACCCCTAAATAGTTCAATGTGTATTTTCTAAAAATGGGAATATTTTCTCTTCTTTTTTTTGGGGGGGGGGGGGATATTTTCTTAACCACAGCCCAGTTATCAACATCAGCACGTTTAACATTGATGTAATACTTTAATCTACTGCCGATATGCACGTTTTGTCAGTGCACCAGATAATGTCCTTTATAGCATTTCCCCCACCAGGATCCAATCTAGAGTCGGGTGGTACATTTAATTGCTATGACTCTAAATTTGGAACATTTTCACAGCTGCCTTTGTCTTTTGACATTATTTTCATTTTTCAAATAGAACTTTCACTTTGCGATTGGGTGTTTCCTTGCAGTGAGATGCAGGCTGTGCATTTTAGGCTGGGACACTTCCTAGGTGGGAGTATCTCCACATATCACATTTGACCATCTGTTCTTCTTTATTGGTGATGTTAATTCAGTCAAGATGCTTTCTGACTTCGCCGCCGTGTGATTCCTTCATGCTTCCTTCCTTGCAGTGTGGGACCGTGCAGTTGTCCTCCTATTCAGAATCCCCCCCTGGATTTATTATCTATTGACGAGTCTTATCTGAGCCAGTCTTTACTGTGCTGGTGCCTACATTCACACCTTATCATCCAAAATCTAGAGTTTACTCTTGATGCCGTACATTCTATATTATTTTTGAAATAAGCTGTCGGCAAAAAGAGACTTTTAAAAAGCCAAAAAGATCAATCATCTTGTTGCCTTAATCGATAAGAATAACATCCTGTATCATGAGAAAATGAATACTCTGGCTTCAGGGTCTTCAATAAAAAGATGTCAGTTATTCAGCTAAACTGAAAATTAGAAGAATTATTTTATAATCTGTATTTCCCAAAGACATTAAGCAGAAAGACTTAATTCTTTTGCTAGTTAGTTCTGTGTGACGTGTGTGTGGCCCAGGCATGCTGGGCAGGTAGTAGATTATGTTGGAAGTGATGGGAGAAGGGCGTCGAGTAGAGAAATGTCCCAGCTGCCTCTGTAAGGGTCTCTTCTGCTCCTGGTGGTGCTTAGAAATGTAGGCTAGTTGCTGGAACTAAAATTGTTCCTACTGACCGCTGTGGGAATCATCCACTAGTTTCTCATGTGAGGTTCTTAATTGAGCGCCTGCTCCATGCCAAGTGGACTCTGCACTTTGGAATTTCAAGCAGAGAACGGGTCCAGTGGCTCCAGTGAGGGCCTCCGCCTGAAGGATGTGCCACTTCCCCCCTTGTATCACTCAGGCCTGTCTCCTGGAAAAACCCTTCAAGAGGGGATCTGGAGACAATAGCAGTCTCATGCCAAGAAGGACCCTAAGAGTAGATAAGGCAGCCTCAAGGCTAGCAGAAAGGAAATAGTGATGGTGGAGAGCTGACCTGGACCTGTGAGGGAGCGGGGGGAGTCAGAAGACTTAACCCCCAGACAGCAAAACTGAACAGAACAGAATCCGAGAGCCTTGTGTTTTGGAAAGGAGGGAGACCAGCTAAGACACTTAAATTGGGAACTTTTTTTTAATTGATTTTGAGAGAGAAAGGGAGAGGGATAGATAGAAACATTAATGAGAGAGAAACATCATTGATCACTGTCTCCTGCATGCCCCCTATTGGGGATAGAACCTGAAACCCAGGCAGTGCCCTAACTAGAATTTGAACCATGACCTTTTGGTTCATAGGTCAACACTCAACTGCTGAGCCACACTGGCCTGGCAAATTGTGAACATTTTTAATAGGCAGACACCATGAGAGGGACAGTTCTTCGGCAAGCTGTGGTGGGTGGGGGGCAGGACAGGCTGGCGGTGGTAGCGATAGAGGGAGGACCAGAGCCGGGGGACACGTTGAGGATGGGGAGGGGACTTATTTGGTGGTGTCAGGCAGGAGGGTGAGGGAGGAGGGAGGAATCCCAGCGGGCCGTGTTTTGAGACCTTGTTGACCGGCTCAGATACCCGAGATGAGAGTGTGGTTAGTAGCACTCAGTCGGGGAGCTCTGACAGACGGGTGATTGGGATTGGAGCTTGGAGGAGAGGAATCTGGAGGAAAAAAGAAAATAGTCTTTGGAGTGGACTTGTTTGCCAAGGAAAAACAAAAAGGGAGACAATAAGTAACTGTAAGGAGAACCACAGGAAACAGGAAAGGGGCACTCAGAGCTAAGAAACAGGTTGCAGTGGTTTATGGGAAAAGTTTCAAGGGGAGGAACGAAGGTTGTGGGGAGAATCCCCTCCCAATTCTTGTTCCCTTCAGCCCTTGCAAAATCATGACTTGGGGCAGGGTGGAGGCCTGGGAAGCTTGGCAGTCCCTGGTCTGAGGGGCTACTTGGAATGTAAATTGTTCACTAGAGACCAATGGGAAACCCTGTGGCACATCTTCCAATGAATGAAAACTTGTAAAGCCCTAAAAACAGTGCCCAGAGCAAAAACATTAGCTATTGCTGCCCCAGCTGGGAAGCAGGGCTGTCTTGTAAGAATGAAGTCTAGTTGGCCCTGGAAGAGCAGGTCAGAGGTGCAGGTCTGCGGAGGCGCTTGCATTATACTGTAAAGAATTTGGGACCACAGACTAAAGGGCAGGTTATCCTTTCCTAAGGTATTTCTCATTTCTGTTATTTTTGCTGTTCTCTGTCATTTCTCCCTAAGTAATTACTAGTGAACCTCTTAAATGAACTGAGGCATCGGGCCTTACTTGGGAGCAACGATGGAGAGCTAGGGGCTGCTGAAGCGACTTGGTCCCACCCTATAGCTGGTTGCAGGAAGTCCCCTGGAGAAGATGCAGCCTGGCCCCCTGGAGGCAGGATGGGCACTGGAAAGGGACAAGGAGAAGCAGGCCTGGTGGGGTTTGTTCCACACGGCGGCACTGAGGGGCTGTCACAGGGAGTGCGGCCTGAGAAAGAAAGGTTGAGAGATTTGGAGGTGGGGACATTACTAGGGAACTTTGGGCAATAAAATGTTTTACTGAAAGACCTTGCAGGAATATGCACTATTCCAGATGAATATATTTTAAATAATCACATCTCATTTTATGCCATAAACGTGTCCCTAGAAAATTGTGTGATGATATCTTAAAATGTGTGCGGGAGCCAGCTGTTGACACCAGTCCTAGGAGGCTTTGCTAACATGTACATAGCCATATCATTTAGCCCCTTTGGGTCTTGAGTTTAATAATTGAGGGCTTCCATAGGCAGAGAACATCTTAATTTCCTTTATATACTATTTGATACTGGTTCCACTAACTAATATACCCGAGTATATACATCATGTGACTGTTTTTGTCAAAACTGTGTCATTGGAATGTATAGATAGTACAGTTGTTTAAAACAAAATCATACTGTGAACCAGAATGGATGGTCTCACAGGATGGGTTTTTTTCTGTCCAGGGTCTTCACAAATAAAGTAGGTAGAATTGAGACGTGTGGTATTATTCATTAGTTGGATGACAGTTATTTAGATAAAGAAAAACTGAATTATAGACCAACAGTGAGTGGACACAGTGCAGACTTAGGGAACGGATGCAGTGATAGCTCTGTGCCTCCTATATGCATCAGGTCTTCTGTCACCTGTGTCACGTGTTGTGAGAACGGTGGTATCTTAGAGACCCTTCACTGTCGGCACACAGGTCGGGACCCTTTGAAGTGCGCGCAGACCTCGAGGAGTCCATGGAATTTGTGGATCCCGGAGTTGCTGGAGAATCAGACGAGAGTGGAGACGAGCACATAAGTGATGAGGAAACCGACTTGGGCACAGATTGGGAGAACTTGCCAAGCCCCCGGTTTTGTGACATCCCTTCCCAGCCCGTGGAAGTCTCGCAGAGCCAGAGCACCCAGGCCTCCCCGCCCATTGCCAGCAGCAGTGCGGGCGGGATGATCTCCTCCGCTGCAGCCTCGGTGACCTCCTGGTTTAAAGCTTACACTGGACACCGTTAACGAGCATGGATCAAAATGTGCCAGATTTGCATCAGGAAAGTAAACTAGTAAACTATGTATTTAGGTAAGATCATGCCTGGAACAAAAAGTTTTAACTGTTTTTTTTTTTTTATGTTGTTAACCCTCACCCGAGGATATTTTTCCATTGATTTTTAGAGTGGAAGGGAGGGGGAGAGACAGAAAGAAACATCGATGTGAGAAAGATACATCGATTGGCTGCCTCCTGCATTTGCCCCAGTCCGGGCCCGCATCCCAGGTATGTGCCCTTGACGGGAATCAACCCGAGACTCTTCAGTCCACAGGCCAAACTGGCTAGGGCTAAACTATTTTTGTTGTTTAAAGCAGGGAGATAGGCATTTCTTTGTCAAATGGCCAATGGTGGTGACAGACATACTGAGGATAATAAAACAGAGGGGTCAAAGGTCCTTCTACCCAGACTAGTGTTGGTGGAAGGAGGACCAGTGCACGAGGCCAGTTCTGTTGAGGCAGAAATTCATCTAGGCTCCCTCTGATCACAGGCCAGAGGACCCAGACCCAGCCTACATGTTGGTCCTCGTGATGCTGATCACAGGCCAGAGGACCCAGACCCAGCCGACATGTTGGTCCTCATGATGCTGATCACAGGCCAGAGGACCCAGACCCAGCTGACATGTTGGTCCTCGTGATGCTGATCACAGGCCAGAGGACCCGGACCCAGCCTACATGTTGGTCCTCATGATGCTGATCACAGGCCAGAGGACCCGGACCCGGCCGACATGTTGGTCCTCGTGATACTGATCACAGGCCAGAGGACACAGACCCAGCCTACATGTTGGTCCTTGTGATGCTGAGACTATTCCTGTCACTTTATGTTGTAGAGATTGAATCTCAAGGAACTGATTCTTGATGATTTAGGACTTGAAAGATAAAAAAACTGTTTAATATGAGTTTGTTTTTATGCGATCATTTTTGTACAGAAAACCAGCAGGCAATTTGAGATACTTGATTTCTTTATAATTTGGTCACGTTTGGTTTTTAGGTCAAGGATTTTGGTTTTGTTTGGAAGGGTGGTGTTTATTTTTGGGGGGGAAGGGGGACGGGGAGTAATTTAAACATTATTTCACTTGTGCTGCTCTGTCGTAGCTCATCAGACATTCCTGTTTTTCTTTCTCCCCACACACCAAAGAAACTAAGCTCTTTTCTTTAGGACCCACATCCATGAACAGAAGAAATTCTAGCTGCAATAATGTCCTAGAGATTGTAAACCTATTTTCTTATATTCTGAGTGGAATTTAGTTCATTCTTACCTAGATTATTGAATTCCTACCATCTACACTATGTGCAGTTTGAAATGAAACTTATTTTCTATGAGTGAAAGATTAAGTCATTAAGGTTGTTTGCTAATGAGGTTACTAGTAAAAGCCACTTTAATTAAGTGGCCTTTAGTAGTCTTCTGGTGTCCAATTTGTTTCTAAGGGATATAGTAGGTGGCAGGTTTTTCCAGGGAAAGCTATCCTGCCTGTTTCCTAGAAGTCTTTGTTGCTCTAAGGACACTACCTTCCTCAGAAATGCAGAGGAAATCATAGCTGGTACTCCTCCTGTCTCCTGGGGGAAGCTCCAGGGAAGGATGTTTCCTCACCAAGAGACCATTTTCAGCTCGTTTCTTGTCATTCTCTAGTGACAATCTTTTAAGAAAACCGTAGAGAGGCATTATGTACAAATATGTAAGTAGTTTATTTTTAATAACTGCAAAAAAAAATCCTATGTAACTACAAAAAGAAATCCTATGAAAAATTCCTAACAGGCATTATTACCACATCTTGTTAGTGTGATTAGCATGATAGTACCTCAGATAAATCACTTGGGGGTTTGCCCTGCCCTAGCTTCTTTTCTCGTAATTATTAGAGAGGATCTTTGCCTCCAAACCCGAGGTGCTATATAGCTTTTGCTATTGGTATATTTAGTGTTTGGCAGAGTTTGGGGTAGAGTTGCAGAAGGGTTGTTTATTCCTACCCAGGAGTCCCAAGTTCCCTGAGTATGAATTTGCCACTTTAGGAGGAAACAGGCTCTGTTTTAACTGCTCAGCTTTATGTTGCTGGGCTTGTGTTGTACCATCCAGGCCTGTAATTCATAGAGTGGTTGACTTGAACAAACACCAAGTGAACTTAAAATCCCATGAGGTAAGACTTACCAGGTACTTCCAACCCTCAAAAAGAAGAGCTTAGTCTCAAGAGTTGAAAGACTGGGATTTGGGGCTTGAGGGTAGAGCTTGACTTCAGCTGAAAGATGCACAATAGTCACGGTTGTTCTCAAATAAGCCTCTTGGAAACCATGAATGTGAGATGAAGCTTAAGAACAGAATCCAGAGATCACAAACTCATAACTAGAGTAATTCAACAAACCGTGAAGGGTATGGGAGATGTAGGGATTGATAGGGTATATTTTGTTGTTGTTATCAACTAGAGGCACTTTACTTAGGGTTAAAATGATCAAACCCTTTAGTGGTTATGAACACCAACATACTGGCTTACACTGCTGAGGTATTTTGGTTTTCATTATTTTGCACTGGATCCACCCTGTAAATATTCTTAAGTATACATTTCAACCACTGTTTTTTCTATTCTTTTTGCTGCTCATTAAATTCTTTCATGTAGGTGCCAGAACCATATGTAAACAGCTTTTTAAAAAATTGAAGCTGGTTTTTATTTTTAAACAAAAAGCCATAGACCTTGGTCCTTTATTCCACATTAAAATGATTTGTTGAAACAAAATAATACTAACAAAAATCCAGAGGCACCAACAGGCCGCTTAAAATGGTTTGCTAAAGACTTTTTTATAATGGAGTCTAAGAAAAGTTTTGCACATCTGTAAGTTAAGACAAAAAACATGTCAGCATTGGGTCTAGCAGACAGGATACATTTAAGGATTCGTGTGTTGGTAATTTGGAAAAAAGCATTTGGTGGCATGCTGTTAAAAGAACTACAGTGTCTGGGAATCTCTTCGGTGGTGTCATGTTGCAGGAATTTCCCATTGCTCTGCAACTTCCAAACCAGATTGAGTCATACAAATGTTTTCTAAACTTTTATTGTATTATTACAATAAACCTTTTACCAGTATTTTGCTAATATGTATGTCTTTTTTAAACTAATTAATTGAATGAGATCTAGCCCTGGATAAACTATAGGATAATTTTTTTAGGATTTTTTGCCAAGCAAGGAAAAATGCCTGCTAATACTTTTATAAAATTATTGATCATGGTGGTATTCATAACGGTCCATCTTTAGGAAGCTGGGAAACGGTTGCTTACCAGTTACATACTTTCTCTAAAGATGGATTTTTCTTTGGTAGCCATCACATGCTGCTATTGCCCTACGGTGACATGGTGTCTTTTAACAGTCCTCTAGGGAGGGATTAATTTATAGCATATAAAGGAATAATTTGTGACAACAGGACACTAAAGGGGAAGAGAAAAAGGACTGAACTTGCACAGGTAAGTAAAGATAAGATGCAATCAGAAGAAAAAGGACTGTGAAAATTTTTTAACATAAACCTAATGAATCACAAGGGCAAAAAACACACACAACCAGAAACACAGGACAACCAGAAAACTAAAGATAAAATGGCTATATTAGGTTCTCATATCAATAATCACCTTAAATGTAAATAGACAGAACTTACCAATCAAAAGGAAGAGTAGCTGGATGGATTAAAAACTACATGTTGCCTTCAGGAGACCCATCTTAGCTACAAAGACAAACAAAGGCACAATAATTTTGAGAAAGGAAACAAAGTTGGAGTTGGAGGTATATGCTACATGACATCAAACTATATTACAAGGCTATAGTGATCAAAACAGCATGATACTAGCATAAAAACAGACACATATATACATAAAAAAAATAGCCTGTAAACAAATCCATTCCTATATGGTCTATTAATATATTTTAAAAGAGGCAAGAGCATACAATGTGATAAAGACTGTATTCAATAAATGGTGTTGGGAAAATGGACAAATACATGCCAAAAAAATGAAACTAAACCTTCTCACATGATATACAAGAATAAACGAAAAATGGATTAAAAACTTAAATGTAAGACTGAAAACCATAAAACTCCTAGAAGAAAACATAAGCAGTAAAATCTCTGACATTTCTCTTAGTATTTTTTTCTGATATATGGCCACAGGCAGGGGAAACAAAAGAAAAATTTTAAGAATGGGACTACATCAGGGGTGGGCAAACTTTTTGACTCGAGGGCCACAATGGGTTCTTAAACTGGACCGGAGGGCCGGAACAAAAGCATGGATGGAGTGTTTGTATGAACTAATATAAATTCAAAGTAAACATCATTACATAAATGGGTACGGTCTTTTTTTTTTAGTTTTATTCATTTCAAACGGGCTGGATCCGGCCCGCGGGCCATAGTTTGCCCACGGCTGGACTACATCAAACTAAAAAGCTTTTTTCACAGCAAGGGAGTTTGCCAATGATACATTCTATAAGGGGTTAATATTCAAAATTTAGAAAGAACTCAAAACCCAAACCCAAATAATCCAATTAAAAAATGGGCAGAGGACCTAAATAGACACTTCTCCAAAGAGGACACACAGACAGCCAATAAACATATGAAAAGATGTTCAACATCACTAATCCTCAGAAAAATGCAAATTAAAACTACAATGAGATATCACCTTATACCTGTCAGAATGGCTGTCACCAATAAATCAACAATTGTTGGTGAGGATGTGGAGAAAAGGGAACTGTGGGTGCGAGTGCGGATTGGTGCAGCCACTGTAAAAAACAGTAGGGAGATTCCTCACAAAATAAAAAATGGAACTGCCTGAGGAAATAGGGATTCCATTTCTGAGTATACATCCAAAGAAACCCAAAACACTAATGCAAAAGAATATATGCTCCCCCATGTTCATTGCCGCATTATTAATAGCCAATATATGGAAGCAACCCAAGTAACTTATCAATAGATGAAAGGATAAAAATGGTGGTGCATAAATACAATGGAATATTACTTGGCCATAAGAATGAAATCTTAGCATTTGTGACAGCATGGGTAAATGTACAGCTGTGCTAAGTGAAATAAGTCAGAGAAAGAAAATTCCATTTGATTTCACATATATGGAACCTAAAGAACAAAATAAATGAACAAACAAACAGAAACAGACTCATAGATACTGAGAACAAACAGGATTGCCAGATGGGAAGGTGGTTGGGGGGCTGGGTGAAAAAGGTGAAGGGATTAAGAAGTACAAATTGGTAATCACAAAATAGTCACAGGGATATAAAGTACACCATAGGGAATCATATCTAATAAAAGAATAATATGCAAATGGACCCTCACTCCAACACACAAGATGGCTGCCCCCATGTAAACACCAGATGGCCTGCAAGGGAGGACAGGGGTGACCGGGCCAGCAGAGGAGGGCAGTTGTGGGGGGAGACCCAGGCCTGCAGGGAGGGCAGTTTGGGGTGACCAGGCTGGCAAGGGAGGGCAGTTAGGGGTGATCGGGCCAGCAGGGGAGGGCAGTTAGGGGCAATCGGGCCAGCAGGGGAGCAGTTAAGCGTCGATCAGGCTGGCAGGGGAGTGGTTAGGGGCAATCAGGCAGGCAGGCAGGCGAGCAGTTGGGAGCCAGCAGTTCTGGATTGTGAGAGGGCAGTCAGACATCCCTTGAGGGGTCCCAGATTGGAGAGGGAGCAGACTGAGCTGAGGGACACCCCCCCCCATGCACTAATTTCGTGCACTGGGCCTCTAGTATAGTCAATAATATTGTAATAACTATGTATGGTGACAGGTAGGTACTGGAAACATTGGGGGGTGACCCCTTTGTAAAGTATATTATTTTCTAACCAGTATTCAGAACATAGGAAACCAATATAAAATAACTAGAGACCCAGTGCACGAAATTCGTGCATGAAGGGGGGGTTCCCTCAGCCCAGCCTGCACCCTCTCCAATTGGGGACCCCTTGGGGGATGTCCCTCTCACAATCTGGGACCGCTGGCTCCTAACTGCTCACCTGCCTGCCTGATCATCCCTAACTGACCTTCTCTGCTGGCCTGATCTCGCCCCCAACTGCCCTCCCTTCCCGGCCTGGTTGCTCCCAACTGCCCTCACCTGCTGGTCTGATCTTGCCCCCAACGACCCTCTTCTGCTGGCCAATTTGGTTCTGATGGGTCAGTTTCTATGTCAGTCAGCATCAAAAGCTCTGCCTCCTAGCCAGCCATTGGCTCCCCACAGCACCCAGATTTGGTTCTGATTGGTCGGTTTCTATGCCAGTCAGCATCAGAAGCTACGTCTCCTAGGCAGCCATTGGTTCTTCACAGCACCCACATTTGGTTCTGATTGGTTGGTTGCTATGCCAATGTCCAAAGCTCCACCTCCTAGGCAGCCATTGGTTCTTCACAGCACCCACATTTGGTTCTGATTGGTTAGTTCCTATGCCAGTCAGCGTCTCTGGGCCTATCAACAGGGCCTGATCAGAAAGGCGGGGCTGATCAGCATCCCCGGTGGAGGCCTGGAGAGAAATGGAGGCATGGCTCTAGCCAGACTGGGAGAGAAAGAGAGAGGCAAGTGCTGATCAAAAGCTGCCACAGAGGCAACGGATCAGTCCCTGCTTCTCTCTTCAGGCCTCTCTCTGACCCTGATTCGCAGCCCCCTCAGCAGTCAGTGCCATGGCAACCCAACTGCAGGACTGACTTCTGGTTGGTCGAGCCTTGGTTGTTATGGCCCAGGGTTTTTATATATCAGGATACTGAATGTAAACTGTGATTGGAAAAAAAGAATTAACATAACGAAAATGTCCATATTACCAAAAGAAACCTACATATTCAGTACAATTCCTATGAGAATCCCCATGGCATTTTTCACATATATGGAACAGAAAATTCTAAAGTTTGTGTAGAGCCACAAAAGACCCCAAATAGCTAAAGCAATTTTTTTTTTTAAAAGAACAAAGCCGAAGTCAAAACACTATAGTATTGGCAGAAAAACAGATATATAGACCAATGGAACAAAATTGAGAACCCAGAAATAAACCCACACATATATGAGCAACTACTTTTCAACAAAGGAGCCAAGATTACACAAGAGTGAAAGGAAAGCCTCTTCAATAAACGGTGTTGGGAAAACTGGACAGCCACATTCAAAAGAATAAAACTAGACTACTATCTTATACCATATACAAAAATTTACTCAAAATGGATTAAAGTCTTGAATGTGAGACCTGAAAGAATGAAATACATAGAAGAAAACACCCTCTAAATTTATTGACCTTGGTTTCAGAGGTGTTTTGTGAACTTCACTCCAAGGCAAGAGAAACAGGCGAAAATAAAAGACTTCTGCACAGCAAAAGAAACCATCAACAAAACAAAAAGTCAACCAACGAAATGGAAGATATTTGTAAATGATATTTCCAATAAGAGGCTAATATCCAAATTATATAAAGGACTCATACAACTCAAGACCAATAACTTAAAATCCAATTGAGAATTAGGCAGAGGACCTGTATAGCTACTTTTCCAAAGATGGTAGCCAAGTCACCATCTCTGCTTAGGATAGTCAGTCAGGGCAGGGGCAGTACTGTTCATGTAGTAGAATCATGCTCAACTGCCTACGGAGAGGGTCTGGTGAGGAAGGCCCACAGCTCAGTCCCAAAGTGGGAGGGCTGGGTGGGCCAGGCCTGGCTCCATCCATACCCTCCCACAAACCTCAAGCACTTGTGCAAACTTGGTTTCTAACCTCACAATGGGCAGGCACTGACAGTTTGAATACAACCTTGCTCTACATTTTACTGACTGTCTGGCAACTGAGTTTGCATACTTTTTTTTTTTTTAAGAACTGCGTTTTTTAAGAACTGCATCAGTCTCTATACTACTTAACAGACTTCTGAAAATTCCAGTTTGTAAAGCAACTGATTCTCTGATGGGGGTGGGTCAGATAGGAGGGAAATAATTTAAATAGCACAGGTGATTCTACGTCAGTTAACTGGCAGGTGGAATCTGTTGCTCCCTGAGTCTGTTTCTGCACACCGCTTGTCACTCCGCAAGAGTACCCCATCTTACACGGCTTACACATTTCCCACCACTGTATATGTCATCCTGTCAT